GCAGGCATTTGAACCAAAGCAATGTGAGGCAAGGGTGGGGGAGACTCAAATGTTTCTAAACTTAAAACGCATTTTTTCCCCTTTTGTGTTGTTTTACTACTTACACAATTATTTCGCTACATAAATATAATTATAATCGCTACAAGTGCCTACTGGAATTTTAAAATAGTAGAGGCAAATTTTAAAGATTATAATATGAAATCACTTAAGCAGAGGTGCTTGATTGTCTTATTACTTTTGATCTCGGGAAATGTTCAGCCTAATCCAGGCCCAGTTTCTGCCTCTGCTCCAAGCTTTGAAACACCTGCGGATTTTAAATCAAGGTATGGACTTGGTTTTATTCATTTAAATGTTTGGAGTTTAATCACTAAAATGGATACGGTTCGTATTTGGGCACAGTCAACTGATGCGGATGTGACTGTCCTAACTGAAACTTGGCTGAACAAATCTGTTTTAGACAAGGATATCTGCATTAATGGTTATAATGTATATAGGACTGACCAACCAAAAAGGGGTGGGGGGTAGTGTTGCTTTTGGCGGCCTGTTTTAATTTTAGTTTTAGTCTAGTCTTTGTGTGAAACTGTCATTTTAGTTTTTATTAGTTTTAGTCACGTTCATACTCTTTTTAGTCTAGTCAAGTTTTAGTCAACTAAAAGTCTGAGCATTTTAGTCTAGTTTTAGTCAACGAAAATTGTATTTTAGTCTCATTTTAGAAATGCAATTATATTTAACCCAGTCAATATAGTATAAGTACTTAGTAGTATAGACAAAATCAACATTTCATTTTAGCCAAACCCATTTCAAACAAGGTTATCTTATTATATTATTGTTACCTTATAGACTCAAGAATACAGCCATTCCAGACACGGAAGACGCTCTGATTTGAATATACAACATTTATTTTACCAACCAAACATGTTAGAAGTACACTACACACACATAAATTTAAATAAAGATGAACCCCGGCTGGCCGGCCATCGGTCCCTTTCTCTGTGTCAGGCTTAACTTTGTTTGGTTTTCGTCTTCTAAATC